GGGGGGGGGGCTGAATAAATAGACCTTCTCTGCACGTTGTTTTCCCCTTTTTTTTTTTTTCTTCTTCCCCCCCCCAAGAAGTTTGTGTATTTCAGATAGCTTCAAGGTGGAGGTGGGAGTGCATCAAGGATCAGCTCTGAGCCCCTTCTTGTTTGCTCTGGTGATGGACTGACTAACAGATGAGGCCAGGCAGGAATCCTCATGCACTATGATGTTTGCAGATGACATTGGAGACAGACTGGAAGTGGCAGAAATAAAAATGTTGAGGTTATCCTTAGGAGTGACAAGGATGAATAAGATTAGGAATGAGATCATCAGAGGTACAGCACAGGTTGAACAACTGGGAGATAATGTTAAGAGAGGCCAGACTGAGATGGTTTGGACATGTCCAGAGGAGGGACAGTTGGTATATTGGTAGAATGATGTTAGAAATGCAGCTGCCAGGAAAAAAACAAAGAGGAGATGTCGTTAGAGAGGACATGGAGGTAGTTGGAGTGAGGACAGAGTGAGATGGAGGAGGATGACTCACTGTGGAGAGCCCTGAAGAGGGAAAAGCTGAAAGAAGACGACACGTAAAAACCTTTTTGATTTTATTCCTAAATAAAAAATCTGTTATTTGAATGTTTTTCTTTTATCCTTTCCTGTTCAAAAGTCAGAACCAGTTAAATTTATTTAACTGTAGAAAGCTCCAAACTTTTCTTCTGTCATTTTTCTGTTTGAAGATTTATTTATTATTTGCTTTAAATCAGAGGTCTAAATGACATTTTTAAATTTACACTATCAACATTAGATTTGCAATACTATAATAAAAATAAATAGTGTCATTTTCTGTTCAAGAACCAACATATTTCACTAAAAGACATAAATTGTCTTTGTTTATTCTTTGAATGTAGTTTTTGATGAAAACATTTAATATCTTTATGTAAGGCTATTAATGTATTTCTGTTTGACTGAAAATAAATTAATTTATTGTGACTTCAGTGGAGATTATCAGTGGTCCAGATCTTAAATTTTCTGAACTTCCTTCATAGTTTTTTTTATTTATTATTTTCTCTTGATTCAAAAGCTTCAGTTTTTTTAAAGCATGAACAGAACAAGAGATGATTACACATTGAGTCACTGAACCATCCTGATTTATTTGATGAGCGTCCTGAAAACTCCTGCGTCTCCCCACCAATTGGTTCAAAATGAAGAAACCTTTTGAACAAAATGAAAAACATTTTATGAACCAAAAAAAGTAATTTTTAAAAACATTTACTAGTATTAGGCCGGACGTCACCGCTGCTTCCTCATGCTCAGTTTCTGTGACATCTTTTTTGTTTGACTCCAGCTGCGTTCAGGTGCTGGCTGAAGACGGAGAGGTTCACGTCTCCCTCTGTAATGGACAGGGTGGGACACCGGTGGACCAGCCCAGGCGTGAGCGGCACAACAGCTGGCAGGTGGTCGCCATGGCGGCCGAGGCGCATCTGATCCTCAGCGCTGTGTGTCCGTTTGAAAGTGAGAACCATCAAAGCTACAAGTGCACCGGATACAGGTAAGGAGTCAAGGTGAGTGTTCCCTGTGTGAGTCCGAGCACCTCTCTGTGTTCCTCTGGGCGTTTCTGATTTAATGCTGGTGTTTGTGCTGCAGGAGCCAAGATAAGGGCTTCCATGTGGAGAAAGCTTTGCTCCATGTGTTTGCTCGCAGCGCCCCCTACACGCCTGTTCCAGTAGTTCATATGGAGGAGGTCGTTGACGGGGAGAAGGTCCACTACAACGTACCATCCGAGCTCAGCGATCACCTGTTCAGGTGCTGGAACACAAAAACTCTTCTGTTGGACTTAAACTTCAAAGTCCATCAATGTTTATGTCTCTTCTTTCTCTTCAGGAAGTTCCTCTGCTCAGATTCTATCCATCCTGTGAAGTTGGTGCAGGACTTTGTTCTCGCGGGACTGGCAGAAGACTGGTCGGTCTCAATGACAGCAGAATCTGAGTCGTACCTCGTCGCAGCCAAACGGCTGCAGACGTGCTGCCACGGCGTTGATGCCTCACAGTGCTACTGGATCCACCAGCTCCAGAAAGACCTCACCTCTCCTGCTGCAGACGAAGACCCGGGCTCCTCAAACACAGCGGACGCTTCAGGTAAAGAGAGCAGAACGAGGAGAGGAGCTGAGAGCTTACGGCCTGCGTTTTCCCTCGATGTAAACCCTGAAGTGGGAGGTGAACTTTATTTACTGCGTCCATCGCTGCTCCTTCAGTTGGAAGAGCTTCTGACTAAAAGAGAAGAGATCATGAATAATAAAAGGCTTCAGGGGATAAATGAAGGGGATAAACAAATATGTGAGGCTGAAATAAATAAAGATGAGGCCCATGAGAGTTGTAATGGGATTAGTGGCTCGTTGTTTGGTTTTAGCGGTGTGGTGTTCAGGAACGTGCCCGTCAGCCTCTGGGCTCTGCCTGCCTTTCACCAACTGCTCCTCAGACCTTCTGTCCCTTCTCACACCGAGACAATCAAGAAGCTCGGACATAAGCTTGAAAAACTCCTCGCTCCCTACGGCATCTCCATGGTAACAGAGGGAGGAGGCCTGCGTCTAACAGCTCAGCCGATGGGTTTGATCGGTCAAGTGTTTGTAAGCGACGCAGCCAACAACCACGTCACCATCGTCGTGTCTCTTAATCTGGACCTCCTCGCCGCCCTCCTGTTTTCACTCCCCGACTGGCGGTTGCTCTGGTGTCACAACTCGCGTTTCATAAAGCAGTTTTCACTCCCGCCACCACCCGGGACGCCTTTCCGCCCTTTTTCTCTTTTCCCCGAGTCCTTCAGCTTTGACATGAGTTTCTGGTCAGGCCCTGCGTGGGACGAGAAGCTGTTTCACGCAGCGGTCCGAGAGGCCAGCCATGGCACCGTGGAGCAAGTGAAACTCGTCGACACGTTCTCGCACCCGGACCTGAGCCAGACCAGTTTCTGCTACAGACTCACCTACTGCTCACACACACACGCCGTGTCTCACACACAGGCGCTGACGTTTCACAAACAGCTGCAGCTCTTACTCACCTCCCGGCTGCAGCTCACCATCAGGTAGCTCAGAAACGTCTTACTCTGAGTGTTCGTAGCTGAAAGAAAGAAAATATTTAAAAAGTTGTTGTTGGCAGTATTTGATGCAGGACTTGTAACGCCGTTTTAATCATATAATAAAGCTGTTATTTCACCCTTCAATTGTCCTTTAACTTTATGACTATTCATTAGGCCTGTCGCAATAAACAAATCAATTAATTGCATGATAAATTAAAAGTGTCAACCTCATTTTCATTTATCAGCTTTATCGTTTCTTCATCTCTTTCTATTGAAGACACTGGATGACAAAAGGCTCAACTCCAATGCTCTTCACTGACCCCTCCCTTTCTCTTTAAAATCTGTTTTAACTGCCCAAAATCACGTTTTTGGATCATTAAAAGAAGCTAAGCTAACAGGCCGAACTCGGGGATAAAACCTCTGTCTTGCCGAAGCTCCAAAATTCACGGTTGTAACCTGTGCCTTCGTGTAAAAAGTTGTTTTTCTCTGCAAAAAGAAGCTGAGAACTTGTTTACTTTTTTTTTTTTATATATATATTAAAAGCTTTGTGTGGAAATGCTATGCTAAAGAGCTCAAACCACACAGAGCGCCCACTATTTTGAGAACCAAAAACTGAACGGAGAGATAGCCCATGTCACGTCAAGGGGCCTCCCTCCCATTTTTCTTAAAGCGACACGCTGCTCCCTCCCTCACTATCCATCCTTTGGTTCAAACAGTCTTATACTGCCACCCAGTGGTCAAAAAAGATACTACATGCAAAACAAATTAACCAACATTTCTTCTTAAATTTGACAATAATTACTAATTATCAAATTTCAAACAATTTTATCGTTTATCACAATAATTTCTGAGACAATTAATCGTCCATCAAAATTTGTTATTGTGACAGGCCCTCTATTCACATTCCTTATTTAGCTGCTTTAAAATACAATTTTTGAGTTTATAAACATTTCAGTTTATTTAAAATGCCTAAACCTGAGCTTATATCAGTTATTAATTTGTAATTTCAGTGTTTATTTGTTTATGTTGAATTTGGCTTATATAGATATAATTAAGTGTTTGAAGGGTCGGCCATCACACATGGCAAATTGAATCTAACAACTATAAGTTCATTTAGATTTATGTCATGTAGTCTGCATCAAGCCATTCCCAGGGTTTATTCTCTCCAAACTCCTTGAGGAAAAGTAACATTAAAAACATCCACTTCTGTGTATGAACTCAGATATTTTTAAATAATAAACTGAAAGGAACCATAGATGTGTTAATGACGTGTTGTTTGTGTAAACATAATTTGAACGTGTAAATTCTGAACATTGAAATAAAGTATACAGGCTTCCTGTGCAGCTTTAAATAATTTCCAGGTCCAAATATGAGAACAAGTGTATCTGCCGCCTTTGTTCTCTATTAAAGTTTCAAAACTTGAGTTTCTAAAAACAGTTCAAACAAGCAGTGTGATAATATATGAACATAAAAAATTGGCATGATTTATCCCACATTATACAACACTGTGAACTAAGCTAAGTTTTAATATAACATATATTAAATATTTACGTTGCACAAAATGTACACATCAAAAAGAAAATGTGTGGAAAATATAGGAAGCTGCGAAATTTCAAACTAAAGTGAGTAAACTTCGTAGAAAATTATTTAAACAAAAACAAATTGTTAAAAAGTGGGATTCTAGAAATTCTGAATCTTGAATTTTAATAAATTACTGAGTTCTTATGACGTTGAGGCCTAAATTGTAATGTGCATGGCCTAGTAAGTACGGTTAAACTTTTTTTAAATTAGGTATTCTAGCATTTGTGGCATTTTTAATTACCTTTTAATATTTTCAGACCATTACTTTTATTTTTTATCTTTATTATAAAACATTCATTCAACCTTTAATTGTACAGATTAGTCCCACTGAGCCTCTCTGGACTCATTTACAAGAGAGACCTGATTTTCAGAGTGATGACAACAAAGACAGCAGACAACTTGAGACGAACAAATTAAAGAAAACTGTATTAAAAAACGAAACAAAAACAGCTAGGTTGTAAAGCGATGTAAAATACACACACACACACACGCACACACACGCACACACACACACACACACACACACACACACAAAAAACACGATTGGCTTCTCAAGGTAGTTTTCCTGATCAACAACCGGAAAGAGCCGAAAATGACCGAGGAAGAACGAAGCGCGACTCGGCGTCAGCAGCGTCGGGAAACATGGCGGCCAAGGCGCTTCGGCAGCGAACCAGACGAGGCAGCAGACAAGATGCGAGTAACGTGACCGCCCCAGCCGAAGCCCGTCCAGCTAAAGAGGAGAATGTCAGCGAAGATGGTAAAACCACAGAGACACGGCAAGAGTGAGTAAAGACCCGGAGGAGCCGACATTTGAGCCCCGCGGTGCAGGAAGCTCCGGCGGAACTGACTGACAGCTAACTCGCTAACTGGCGCTATCGTAGTAATTTTAACAACAACGACTAATAACGAATAATAATAACAGCTCAGAGGTCTGAGCGCTCTTAATGCCAACTGCACTGACAGGACGTGTGCTTCCGCCTCGGTAACTAGTTCCACTCCCACCGTGTCTTTAGCAGCTGATACGTTTCATGATCAGATTCATTCATTTCTCCAGTTTATCAATCAGTTAATCAGTTATCGATTATCACAGCTGACGGCATGTTTCCTCGATCAACTGTTGCACTGAATGGAGACACAGGCACGTGACTTTTACAAGAAAGGTTTCCTATTTTTATAAGGTGACGTGTCTTACTAAAAAGATGAGGATCATACCGAGTTCTAGTCTGTCTAATCCCATGACAGACATGACAGGTATGAAACAACCGGATTAATGTCTCTGCTCCTCTAGTCACAGGCTGTGGACATGGACAGGTCAAGATCTGTCCACATGTGGACTGAACTGATTTAATAGAAGAAAGAAAAGCAGCTTTAATAAATTAAAAGTCCTCCCACTCATGTAGGGTTCAGGGATTTTAGGGCCACTTGAACTCAACATCCACAATATGGGTCAGTAAATCCAGTGGATGTTCTGACTGGTTAAATTGAATTGAAACATTTTAAGTAGGTAATAAAATGCAAACTATAAAATATAAAGAAATGTTATCCTGAAGTATCCAGCAGTTTGAAAGAGTTTAATCTAGGAATATAATTTAGAAATGCAGGTATGCACTCCGTGTAAACAAACCACTGTTTTATTTTCTGACGTCACAGAAGACTATCCTACAATGACAATGACCATAGTCCTTGTAGGTAAACTAATCTAAAATATATTTTCTAGAGAATGGGTGAAATGCATACTGTTTTCAAATCTAATTTATTTTTGATGGTTTAGAAACATATCTGTGTGCTTTACGTAATAAATGTTAACGTAAATGCGTATTAAATTGTCAGTCTTCTTGATCCTAAATGAATCATCTTTGGGCATCACCATTGTTCACCTGTTTTCAATCACTTCGGCTGATTCTGTAGGGAAACAGACATACATGGTAGTTGGGAGTCTTTTACATATTTTTGTCTTCAAACAACTAATTTAAGAATACATTAACCACTGACACAAAATAAAATGGGAAAAAAAAAAACTGAGGTACCAACTTTTATTTTGATGCGTGGCTGCATCAAAACTTTAAAATAAGTCCCTATCAAAAATTGGGTTGCCCTGTAAAAATCAAAGATGGCCACCACCACACCCACTGTGTGTAATTCAATCACCACTAACATTAGAGGAAACAATGCTTTCTAGTTTTTATTTTGCTTAAAGGCATAAAAAAACAACAAATCCTTATTTAAACTGTAAACATTTTTGACCATTTGAGACTGAAAAATAAAATATAATCAATAATAATCAATTCAAATCGATCAGCAACATTTTAACTCAGTGTTATATAAAACACTTTGGCCTAAAAAACAATAATGAATAAAACAATTTGTGCTGATTTATTTATTTAATCAAAATGAGGAAGTCGGGATCAATGAGCAAACTCATCGATAAAACTAAAACATTTTGTCAACAAGAAAAGAGGAAAGAGTGGGCAGGTGTCGCTCTCGCTTGAGTTTACTCTTTGTTGCGTGCGCGCTGTGAGTGATGTCCAGGGTGCGTGGACATAAAAACAGCAGAGGAGGTGTCGGGAGTTATTTATTTATTGTCTCAGCTGCAGAGAGGAGCGACACGGTTCGCGCATGGCTCCCAAAACGACAAGACAGACATATTTGTTCATAACTTTATTATTAGTAATTCTGAGAGACACGAGCAAACAGCTGCCGGAACGCACGCAACAAAATGAGAATGGTGAGAAAAGAAAAAAAAAACCTGCGGCAAAAAAAGCATGTTCCCCGGGGGTCACATGCCCCCAGGGGGGTGCGCCCCACTATTTGAGAAGGACTGATCCTTGGAGGCCAAGGCCACCATTGGCCACCCCCTGGCTCCACCATTGCACCTGGTGGTGGATAAAATTGCTTCCTCCACTCTCCAGGATTCGACTCTCTGCACTGCCTCGGATAAAAAAAGAAAGAACATAACCTCCCTCCGTTCTTCGCCACAATTTAACTCCTACCCACAGTCCAGCAAAAAAAAAACCTCACTAATCTCAAAAACTCAAAACAGTCACTGTTCAAATCCCTCAGTGACGGGGACATTAACTTGTTCCACTTGGATACTCATCAAGGAGCCGAACTTTGCTGTAACCTTCTAAAGTGTTCTGTGGCATCAGGATGTCAGAGACAAACTAAAGTGTGAAGTAAATCTGGATAAAGCAGGGAACAGATGTGAACACATTTGGTGTGTATTTTATATTATAATGGCCTTTCTTTAATTAGTACTTGTCTTTACTACGTGCCTGTTTAAGTCTTGTTGCCAGTTTAATTTAGCTCATGCTAATTAAATTAATTAATTATGTTTGTAAATTCTGTCCAGAGCTGAGTGCAATAAAAACCTATGCTTCAAGTTTGTCTCTTAACTCTTGATATGCATTAGCAGTTTAAGATTTATCGACTTGATTCTTCTTCATTTACTCGCCGTGTCTTGTCTTCATCAGGTCGATAAGTCGAGGGGGGCAGGTGTGGGCTCCAGAAGGGTCGACAGCTTTTAAATGCCTTCTCTCTGCACGCTTCTGCGCAGCTTTGCTCAGCAACATCTCCGACTGCGATGAGACATTTAACTACTGGGAGCCCGTGAGTGCAGAACCGTGAACGCCAGCGCTCTGTCACTGATGGCACTAATAAAACGTTACCTTGAGTGTGCGACGGAGTGAAGTTTCACGTCATGCTGTGTTTCTACAGATGCACTTCCTCTTGTACGGCACAGGAATGCAGACATGGGAGTACTCTCCGTTGTACGCCATCAGGTCCTACGCTTACTTATGGTTGCACGCTCTGCCTGCGTGTTTGCACGCTCATGTTCTGCAGACTAACAAGGTAACTGCTCTCTGCTGTTACTTCAGCTGACCGTGTAGGGATTTAATCCTTAAACCTCCGATTCAGTTGGACAGTTTGTCTTTCTGTCCTGTCACCTGCACAGCAGCGTTCTGCTGTTTAAGAACGTTTCAATAAAGTTTTAGTTTGCTCTGTGTTGCAGGTGTTGGTGTTCTACTTCGTGCGATGCGTCTTGGCGTTCTGCTGCTGCATCTGTGAGCTCTATTTCTACAAGTGAGTTTATTTTATTTTATTTTTTCCTAAATGCATGTTAAAGTTGGAGCACTTTCAGTTTTTGGCCTAATTGTGAACAATTTTACGCTGCCTGGCCACAAGACTACGACGGAGCATTGGGGCCACGCTAAGAAAAAAAACAATTAAAAGCCATAAAATTACGAGAATAAAGTCATACAAGACTTTTTTTTTTCAGCTCTTGATTTATTTCTTTATTTATTTTCTTAATTTCTACGGGTCAGATCCACAACGTGACCTGCCAAATCAATCCAGTAGTCATGTCAGCAAATGACCAAGCCCAAGATAAATGCTCCTACCTGTACCACCTTACTGTACGCAGGTTCAAAGCCCTGGTACTGATAATAATCTGATGTGCTAACAGATTAACTATCTCATTTGTAAATCCAGTACCAAAGTATAATTTAACAAGATGCTCAACATTCTTCATTTTACCACAGTTAAAATGCAGTAAACTCTGCTTTTTCCTGTCGGAGTTCGGATAATATTACGACTCATTCATCTTCAGATTGGTCATTTGCTGACACACCTACTGGATTGATTGACAGGTTGCGTCATGGCTCCGACTCATGAGGGGAAAAAAAAGAGCTGCAAAAAGTCTCGTACGACTTTATTCTCTTAATATTAAGACTTTATTCAACTTTATTCTCATAATTTTATAGCTTTTAATTTATTTTTTTTAGCGTGGCCCTAAAGCTCCGTCATACAAAACCCCCAGTTTTAGCTTAAAGCTGGTTTGAAAAGGTTCTGCAGTGATTAACGTGGTTCTCCTCACGTTTATTTCTCTCTAGATGAGTTCCTTTTTATCCTCGACTTCAAAATAGAAAATTATAAGTTTGCATCAAGCAAAGCCAATTCAACTAAAGAGACTAATGAAGTACTAATGAGTGACTAATGAGGTCTGAGTCGATTCCCTCTCAGTCAAGTGATCTGGAGCTGCTTCAGGTCTACAAGACATCAGATGAGTCCTGTAGGCTCCTGGACTCCAACTGTAAATAAATTGATCTTTTTAAATCATTTCTACACATGCTGTGTCCTCTACACGCCTTAGAGTCTGTGGGTGTTCTACTTTCCTGTGTTTAAAACAAGATTTTAATAAAAACTAAATGCATCCAGGCTGAAAATAACGAACTACATGAGCTCATTGAAACACTGCCATGACAAATATATAAGAAGGTCATTTTGTGTGTGGCTGAGTGATGTTTTGTATCATAATGCCTAATAAATGGGATTAAAGTGTTTGTTTGTGATGCAGGGCAGTTTGTAAGAAGTTTGGTTTGCACGTGGGCCGTCTGATGTTGGCGTTCCTCGTCCTGAGCACGGGAATGTTCTGCTCATCTGCAGGTTCGTCAAATTTACCAAACTTTATTTTTTATCTTTTGAGGTTTGTTACTTTTTTTAAGGAACTTATTGCACAGTGAATTGTCATGTTTAGTGAAATAAATAAACTATAATTAGTATTCCTCCTGGAGGAGTGGTGGCGCAGAGGTTAGAGAAGACGAGCTTGTGAACGGTAGTTCGCCGGTTCAACTCCCTGAACTGACAACATCAAGTGGGTGGGAAAGGTGAAGCACTCACACCTGCATCCACCATCATTTGACCCACTCTGGGCCCTTGAGCAAGGCCCTTAACCCCCACCATCTGCTCCCCTGGGTGCCCCATGCAGCTCTCTGCTCCACACAGAGGGCTGTGGCAGCTCTGTGTCTGGTTGCATCAGGAAGGACATCCAGTGTAAAAACAATCACCAAATCTTCGTGCGAGTTAGTTCGCTGAAGAATGGAGCAGCTGAAAGAAGAAAAACAAAGTTTCTCCTCATTTTGAACCACCTGGTTTGTCATTTTTCAGCTTTCCTGCCTTCGTCTTTCTGCATGTATATGACTCTGGTGGCCATGACCGGGTGGTTCCAGGACTCCACGCCGTTGGCCGTGATGGGTGTAGCTGCAGGTGCGATTGTTGGGTGGCCGTTTTCTGTTCTCACCGGGTATGACAGCTAATTTCACTCGCTGACAGTTTTCCCGGGCAGGCTTGTAGCAACATGTAACTTTAAACACTTTTTTTTTTTTTCTCCTCAGGATTCCCATTGCGTTCGATCTGCTGGTGATGAAGAGGGAGTGGAGAAGTTTCCTGATGTGGTCCGCTGCTGCTCTCCTGCTGCTGCTGGTCAGAATCATCACAGGAATTCACACACACACAAAAAAATTAAAATTAATAAAATCAGTAAATATTAACAGACTGTTTATTTCTGTGTTTGTTTAAAGCTTTTTGTACTACAATCAAATTTAGATGAAAAAAGGAAATTGGGTTTTAAATGTATCAAAGAATAAAAATAAATCGTCTTCTACACATGGGTCCATTATTCTTATTTGAACCTGTCTGTTCCTCTCAGGTTCCCCTGGTGGCTGTGGACTCCTTCTTTTATGGAAAACCAGTGATAGCTCCACTCAATATTCTTCTGTATAACGTCTTTACTCCACATGGACCTGATCTGTACGGTAATTTACACGTTACTGGCTTTTTTAATTATATTTGCATAAAAATCATTCATAAAGGTGAACAGTTGCATCAAACTCTTCAATATTTAGTTTTTAAGCTGCTTCAGAGTTAGTTTCTTGTAATATTGAGGACAGAAGTCTGCAACCTTCAGGTTTAAAAGAGTCATTTCAACCATTTTCTACTGAATAAAGTTTGTTTGGAGCCACAAAACCTACATCTTGACAAAACATACTTAATGTTTTTTTTAAAAATATATCTATACTACAGTAGTCCCTCGCTACTTCGCGGTTCATTTATAACAAATTTGCTCTATTGCAGTTTTTCAAAATAAGATTGGACATGACACACAAGTGGCTGATTGATGGATGAGCTGTACGAGCAGCATGGAATTATTATTTAAAATAAATTATTTTAAATTATTTAGCACTTGCTGCTCCTTTGTGCAGTCCACAACTGCAGAAAAAGCTTCCTCCTGCGCCTCCTTCCTTACTGCTGCAGGATAAACTTCCTCCTGCAGCTGAACAGCTGATCTGCGTGCAAAGCGGAGAAGTGGGCGTGGCCAAGAGCGCTTGCAGGTGGCTGAGAGCAGCCCCCACGATAAACGAGGGACTACTGTATATACTGTATTAAAAAATGCAGTTTAACTGTGGCTTTCTTCTATTTTAGGTGTTCAGAAAAAAGAATAAAAATTAATTTGTGTGTTTGTTTCTACAGGAACAGACTGAGTCCTTCAGGTTTTGTAAAAAACAAAATAAAAATAAAAACGTTACACTTAGAGATAAATTAAGTTGAAATCTGAAGTCTTCAGAATATAAACTTTTACATTTTCAATCACAAATCTTTTACTCAAGGCAGGCCTTGACTTTTATGTTTTACATTTTTAAAATAAACTAGCTGTATGTTTTTGTCAAACCCAACAGACGTGCACAACTTTTATTTCTGTGTTTTCAGCAGTTTTGTCTTAAATTAGTTGAAAACGGTGAATTTTCCAGTCAATTCGAAGAACGACAACAGTGATTCAGAAGGTTTTATAAAAGTTTAATGACTCAACAGATTAGAATGAAAACATTCGGCTGATTCTGGTGCTAAAATCGGAATAATTTCTGTTCCAGCCTGAGCTCACAGCTTTATTATTCTGCAGAAGGTTCATGCTCACATTGTAAAATGATTGGACAGGTAAATGGCAGTGTTGCTTTTTGAAAAATTTTTTTAAAAGACTCAGGCTCATGATGTTTTTAGTCAAAGTTAAGAAGCTTCAGCGGTTCTGAAATTTCATGACGTTTGTGAAAACTTTGATTACTGCCTCTATAGGTGGTGTTTATACCAGTTTAGCTTCTGGAGGAAATGCAGGGATGTAAATGGAGCTGATTAGTTATTTGTTAAGACAAAGTTTGACCACTACGGGACACAATGTTCTGCTTATACTTAGGAGATTAAATCTTTTGACTTTTTAAGACCTTTAGAGCCAAACGAGTTCAGAGAAAACTCATTTCTTCTGTCAGACACAGGTTGACGTGTAAATTTGGAGCTGATCGCTGTTTTTGCCGTTCATATGATTTTTTGTTTAAATTTTACTCCAGCTGCTCAGTGATGTTTGTTTTTTCTGTTTTCTGTGATTTATACACGTGTACTCGTGCGCCTCCACTCTCAGGGACGGAGCCATGGCATTTTTATTTTGTTAACGGAGTCCTGAACTTCAACCTGGTGTTTGTTCTGGCGCTCTTCTCCCTGCCGCTCACGGCCCTCATGGAGACGCTGCTGCACAGGTTCAATGGTGAGGACTGGCTGTTGTTGTTTGTTGTTGTAATGAGGAAATGTGGTGCTGATCAGACTTAATGTTAGGCGTTAAAATGATAAACCATCAGCTTCAGTGCAGCCATAATCCAAATCTGAATGTAAAACGTGGGTTATCTCTGCTGTCTGGTTCCTGTCAGCTCCTCTTGGGATGTGATTTATTTGTAGTTATTATTTTCAGTGCAGAACCTGGGCCGTCCGTACTGGCTGACTCTGTCTCCCATGTATCTGTGGATGCTGGTTTTCTTCACTCGACCTCACAAAGAAGAACGTTTCCTCTTTCCCATCTACCCTCTCATCTGCCTCAGCGGCGCCGTGGCGCTCTCCTCTCTGCAGGTCTGAGGCGTTTTATCCTCTGTAAGTCCCACATTCAACGTTTAAAATCAGCTCAAATGAACTGGGTTTTATTTTTCCCAGAAATGCTACCACTTCCTGTTCCAACGTTACCGACTGGAGCACTACACCGTCTCGTCCAACTGGTTGGCTTTGAGCGCCGTTGTCGTCTTTGCCGCCCTGTCTCTGTCTCGCTCAGTCGCCCTCTTCAGAGGTGTGGGTCCAAAAGACGCAACACCAACAGCTCAGTACAAAACAATTTATTTACGTTTGCTCTGCGTTTACAGGTTACCATGCTCCTCTGGACCTGTACCCAGAATTTCACCGCATCGCCAAGGACCCGACTCTTCACGCCGTCCCCGACGGCAGACCTGTCAGCGTGTGCGTCGGCAAAGAGTGGTACCGTTTTCCGAGCAGCTTCCTGCTGCCACACAAGTCAGTGTCCATGAGTACCATGCAGGTCCTAATGCTACTATAGAATCATTTTTCTAGAAGTTTTAAAGGAATCTGTTGTTTGTTGTTAATTAGATGATGTGAAATTTGGTCTAGAAAGAATCGAGTGCAGTACTGGTCCTTAAGGCTGCAACCAGAACTCTCCCAACATCAGTATTGTTCAAAAGTCTTAGGCTACGTTCGCAGATCTTAATGCTCAGATCCAATTTTTTGCGTGCCTGTTCAGATTCTAATTTAAATGCGGCCTCCATCAGGCTCCAGTGTGACCCATTTACAGTTCTGAGGCGACCTGCAGACGAAAATGTGACGTTAGACGCAGCACGCTGTACTTACAAAAAGAAATATGGATGCTACGCATGTTAGCGTGTGTGATTCTGATGTTACTGTGCAAACAGAACAGATTTTTTTTTTTATTAGACCTTTATTTATACAGGTTAGTTCCCACTGAGCCTCGGAGACTCATTTACAAGAGAGACCTGTTTCATACAACATACAGAGTAGATGAGGAAAAGAGAACACAAAGGTGGAGGAAGCCCAAAAAATCATGTCTCACACTATTTTCTAACTTGGAAACGGTATAAAAGATGCAATTTTTAATTCAACCTTTATTTAGACAGGTAAATCCCATTGAGTCTCGAGGACTCATTTACAAGAGACCTGATTTCAACAAAGAATGATGACAATAATGGACAACAGCAACAACAATAAACAATTATAAAAAGTCATACTGCAGGGTTTTTTTTAAATAAAAGATATAAAAGACCTAGAAGACTAAAATAAAAGACCTCGCAACATAAAGCTGCAACATACAATGACATCATAATACATTTATGTACAGAGGTCAGCAAAGGTGGTGAGTTATTCATAGACACTCCAGAAAAATTACAATTTGGCAGGTTTGTTTGGTCCAGTGTTTACATTTGATCTGACTTCTCCTCCGGTGCAACGTTGTATTTTTGGAACCTGAGCAACGTACTGAAGATAAAAACAAACTCAAATAGGCCTGTCACGATAACAAATTCTGCTGGGCGATTAATTGTCTCAGAAATTATTGCAGTAAACGATAATATTGTTTGAAATTTGACAATAATTAGTAATTATTGTCAAATTTAAGAAGAAATGTTGGTTAATTTGTTTTGTTGTAGTACCATTTTTGACATGGGAGGGAGGCCCCTTGACGTGACATGGGCTGTCTCCTTCCTTTTTTTTGGTTCTCAATATGGCGGACCCTCGGTGTGCTTTGAGCTCTTTAGCACAGCATTTTTCACATAATAAAAAAATCAGTAAACAAGTTCTCAGCTTCTTTTTGCAGAGAAAAACAACTTTTTACACGAAGACAAGTTTCAACCATGAATTTTGGAGCTTCAGCAAGACGGAGGTTTTTTCCTAGAGGTCACCCTGTTAGCTTAGCTCGTAGCTTAGCTTCTCAGCTTAGCTGCTTTTAACGATCAAAAACTTGACTTTGGATGGTTAAAATGGATTTTAAAGAGAAAAGAGAAAGGGAGGGGTCAGTGAAGAGCACCGGAGTTGAGCTTTTTGTCATCCAGTGTCTTCAGTAGAAAGAGAGAAACAATAAAGCCGATAAATGAAAATGAGGTAAATAATTTTCATTTATCATGCGATTAATTGATTTATTGTTTATCGCGACAAGCCTAAACTCAAGTTTTGATTCCATCACGTTAACATCAATATGGACCAACACCAACGATGGTATCAGATGTTGCTGTAGACTCTCAGTCATCCAGGACATGGGAGTAAAAAAAAAGACAGAAGCAGCTGGACTTTAGTTTTGTATCTGAAGACGTGTGGAGTTCAAGGTTTAAGCTGCATGTTGGTATCATTATTTGGATCGGTCCACCCCCACCTCACTGATGTAAGAGATGGATTAAATGAGACGTGACCGCTCAGACTGATGTCGCTTTGAAGAACATCAGTTATGGATCTGATTCAGTACCACAGATGGAAAAGACCAGGGTCGGATTAGAAAAAAAATCTGATTTGTCACGTTCAGATGGTCATAAAAAATTAGATGAGTTATATTTGCCTGCAGTGTGGACATAGCTTTAGACATTATTGCTCTCTTTGCTTTCTGTCACTAAGTTTAACCGTGATTAGTTTTAGATTAATTTTTAATCCTCTGATCTTGTTTCACTCCATTTGACACTTTGGCTGCAGAAGAAGCATTTTCAATAAGCTTGTATAAATGGCACAGATTTTCTGAAAAGTGGATTCACGTTAGTTCTATGTTTTAAATGTAAACCCGTCTTGTGCCTCTGTCGAACAGCTGGCAGCTGCAGTTCATCCAGTCTGAGTTCAAGGGGCAGCTTCCTCAGATGTTCGCCTCCGGCCCTCTGGCCACGCAGATCATCCCCTCTCATATGAACGACCAGAACCTGGAGGAGCCGTCCAGATATGTGAGTGACACAAAGGCGTCTGTCTTGTTGCTGCTTCGGGTTGCTGAAGGTTGGTTCTGTGCAGGTAGATGTAAAACAGTGCCACTACCTGGTGGACCTGGAGACGGACGAAGAGACGCCGCTCGAGCCTCGTTACTCAGCCAACAAAGAGGAGTGGAGCGTCATTTCTTATAAACCTTTCCTTCAAGCGTCAAGGTGTTTTATTTATTTTTATACTCGCATATTCTTAAAGTCACATTTTTAAGGAGGTGCATTTTTTTTAAAATCCCATCTTTTTTTTTTTTTTTTCAGTTCCTCTCCTTTCTTTAGAGCTTTCTACATCCCGTTTTTATCCGACCGTCACACCGCCTACAGGCGCTACGTCATCCTGAAACCACGAAGGCAGAAGCTGCCTCGGAAACGGACCCACGGCTGACCTTTGAACTTCAGCCTTCAACCAAACCCTGAACAAAAGCAGTGGATCAGATCTGCTCTGAGCTGCTGGTTGTCTGTTTGTGTGTCCGTCTGCATGTGGTTTGTCTCATCAAACGTGAAGATATCTGAGGACTAAATGTCTGTGTGGAGGTATGACTGGTAGTCTTCAACTGTTTTTTTAATTCCTTTGGTTTCTTTTTTTTTTACTTATTTTGTGTAAAGATGTCTTAAAAGGGGCCTGCCACCACAGGAGTTTACACTAAATTAACCTTTAAAAGGCCAACACACACAAACCCAAGTGTTTTTTTTATTTTTTTTATTTTGTTTTATGTTGTACTTGAAAATGTGACTTGGATGGAAGAATTCCTGAACACTTGATCCAAGATGTCATGTAATGAGAGGAGACCGCTGGAGACGAACGAGGGTACGTCATTAATTTAACTTGAAATGTGAATAAAAACACGATTGACTGCCATTATAACACCGCCGTGTACTTTATTTGAACAAACATACAAACCACTTGTAGATTACACATTCTGAATAAATAACACTAATGCTGTTTTATCATGCCTTCAAACTCATGCTGAGGTTGCAGGCGCTGAAGACCAGTTTACTGAACAAAAACCACTGGTTTTAAGACAAAACCTGGAATAAAAATCTAATAACAGAAGTTCAGTTCAGTTTATTTATAAAGCGCCATATCACAACAGAAGTCGTCTCAGGGCACTGAACGGAAACATTCACTTACATATAAAAATCTGTTAACGTTATTTAAGATGAGTTTTCACTTCATCGCAGTCTCCCATCCTAAGCAAGTGCAGAGGCAACAGTGGAAAGGAAAAAGTCCCTCATGAGGAAGAAACCTCCAGCAGAACCAGGGTCAGGGCAAGCGGCCATCTGCTTCAACTGGTCCATCAAGTTCCTCACAGGTTTCAATTTAAGGCGAGTTTAAAACTTTTTTCATTAATGACTGCAAACAAAAATATCCAGGACTTACAAACTGATCTGAGCAGGTAAAATCAGCACAACAGGACCGTGCTAACAAGCTACAGCACATACAGCTCTGTTTTTGATTTGTGAAGCTGCCGATGATCCACCTGCCTGCAGCTGTTTTCTTAGTTTTATGCTCATCAGTGATGCAGTTCTGTTAATGGGAATAAAAACGTCCTGAGATGATTGGTTCTGGAGGACCTGCTCATGAAGAAAACTCCATCAGTTTAGATTTGCTGTCAAACTAAAACAGGATAAGAGTCATGCTACTGAATCAGACGCCACTTTTTTCTTCTTCATGCATTAAAAGGACACCAACTCAACAGCCGTGTGTGCGTGAGACGTCTGTGTGAAGTTGTGCATCCAGCCTCCAGATCAGATGTTTACTTCAGTCTGACTTCACCTTGTTGGATTTTATTCATCCATCCATTATCTTTACCCACTTCTTCCTTTTCGGGTCACGGGGGTCACAGACTGTTGAATCAGTGGAAATGTTTTCTGCGGTCAGCTCTCGCTCTGTCTGGACGCACGAAAACATTGCAGTGATTTGATCTGGCTGGTTTTAAACGTATCAATATTTAATATCTCTGCCTCTGTAGCAGTGTAATAAAAAGTCTGAGCTCAGTAAAACTCTAATGGAAGCATCAGACGGACTGACCTGGGTTTAAATTAATTTTTGTTTGTGAGCCCTACCAACTAAATTATGGTCCACTGACGGCGTACAAGGCTGAAGCTTTTACCGACGGATACACCAAACCTTAAAGAGAGAGTTCAGATCTTTGGAGTGAGGTTCTGTGAAATAATAAACAGTAGTTTACCTGCTACAGGTAGCTGTACGAGCAACCTCAATTTGGAGAAAACTTTTTTTTTTTACAGGAATGAGCTGGGCTGTTGTTACGCTGTAGTGTTTTGCATTATTAGTGTTTAGCGTACATCTTTGCTCTTGTAGCGCACCGTTTGGCTTTCGTTTATATCTTTAGTGTATATCTATACTGTTTCTTTTTATGCTTTATATTTTTGCTATTGTTGGATGCAACTGGGACTCTGAGTACATAATTTAGTTCCACCTCATGTACCACATGTGGTAAAATGACAATAAACCCACTTGAACTTGATTAACGAGATAATGGCTAGTCTGAACAAATCGGCTCCAACGTCAAAAATATCACGTTCAAATATTTTATAAACCTCGACGTCACAGCAAAATTTACATTACATGGTTGTTTACATATAATGAAACAGCTAAAATAGCAGCAGCTAGCATCTCTGGTGCAGGAATATCAAAATGATATTTCTGCTGGAATAATAAAGTTTAAAGGTTTATAAGATAACATCTGCATGAACCGCCAGGATTTTTTTCATCTTTGATTTGTTTTAAGACATATGTGTCAAACTCGAGGCCCGGGGGCCAAATGTGGCCCTGTTATCTGGTCCCCTAGACGTTATTTGTAATGCAAAACACTTTTATCACTTTAATTTTTACAGTAATCTTTGGTTATGATGTCAAAAGTGCAACAGAGAACATCAAATGAGACCAATCAAACTCTTGTGGAGGAACCTGCAACCAAGAACAGATGCTGAGTATCTGACTTGAGTTAATGTAGATTCTAAAACTGGCCCTTTAATTTGAAAAGGGTTTTAATTTTGGCCCCCTTTTGTAAGTGGGTTTGACACCCCTGTTTTAGGATGTCAGGAATCTATTTTGGTCTGGTTCCACTCAGACTAACAGTTAGCTCATCCATCTGAACTAAACTATTTCTCCAAACTGAGATCGTTCAAAGAGCTATCTACAACAGGTAAGATATTAACTGTTCAAAAGCTTTCCACAAATCAAACTATGATATTTAAACAGAAGCATTCCTGGTAACAAGGTCAAACGTCCTTCTGTTTAAAATGTTGGGTCCTTCTGTTGAGGTTTGTATTCCTAATGAAAGATGGTCCGACTTTACGTCACATCAGCTCCAACTAGCAGCAGGTTACAGCTGCCTCAGCAGTCAGTGAGGTTTCACTTCATCTCTTGATCTGCTTTAATGCGCACATGCACAGTGATTGATGAAAGCTCAGTAGTTTTCTCTGTTGATCCAGTCCTGTTCGGTGAAGTACCTCCGTCCATCCAGGTTCAGCCCGTTTCTGTAGCAGTCCAGGTTCGTGTGGAAGGATTTCCGGTTGCCGTAAGTTCCCAGGGTGGTTTGAAATGTGTCGTGCTTACCGTTGGTGCTGTACGTCTGATAGAGGTCCACTTTTCCCGTTTGTGCTCCAAGTTTCAGGTTGGGGTCAGAGAGGTCAGCCGCGACCCGGAGGCCGCTGCCATACAGGCCGTGGTCTCCGTGCATGCTGCTGCTGTAGAGCTCGCTCTTGGTGGTGCGGCGACCCAGACTCCGATCGTAAAACTCTCGGTTTCTGCTGCAGCCCAGGCTGCCGTCATTCAGCTCCCTCTTTGCTGGGCGGCCCAGGCTGCCGTCATTCAGCTCCCTCTTTCCCGGGCGGCCCAGGCTGCCGTCGTTCAGCTCCCTCTTTGCTGGGCGGCCCAGGCTGCCGTCATTCAGCTCCCTCTTTCCCGGGCGGCCCA